GTGGATGGTTTATAGTTAGTAGAGGTTTCCTTGAAGGGTTTGGTTGATGTGAAGTCGGTATTTAATGGTTTATCTGCATAGGATGTGAGTTTCTCTTAAATCTTTAGTGGTGTTGTTATAATTGTTCAAGCTCTCGTGAGTGTTGCAAATCAGAGTAGCGCAGGAGAAGCGTGGTGGATTTATTGCTTAGTATTGTTGTGAAGACAATTCTCTTGTTTATGTGAAAAATTTTAGGTAGTCTTAGTAACGGTCCCTGTTTGGAAATGGTGAAATGCCTGGGGCGTTACAAATAAAACCAAAACAATGAGAAGAAAATCTTACCGATATTTGAGAGAAAATACCAACACTCTTCTTCTTTTCTTTTCTTTTTCTCTTTAAGAGAAAACTAGGTCTAACAGTTTAAGAAAATAAAACCTAGGGTTTAAGGGCTTTTATAATAAACCCTAATGAATCCTTATTTAAAAAGGATAATAAAAAGATAAAGATTTAATAAAACTGTTTCTTTCTAATTTTTTCAAATTCTAAGAACAAATTATCTTTTAAAAATAATTTTTAAAACAAAACGTTTATCCTTGAGAAAATAAAAGAAAAAAACTAAAAAATAATAATTTAAATATATATATATATTTATATATATATTTTCGGTTGTTACATAAATGGAACGATTCGTACTTCTAACCCATTTTCAAAACAAAGGGTCTGCCCTCAGTGGGCTAAGGGATCCATATGTTAAGAAAACCTATTGTTCGTCCAATAACCAAAACAACGAATAATCTCAATAAGTAATATCAATAGTCCACCTGGAATGGGAACAAAGTAATCTGTTTTGCAACAACAATAGTAATAATAAATAAAGGACAAAAGAAGACGAAGACTAGTCTACGGCCAACAACCAATTCCCATATATCCCGACAATCGAATCACCCTCAACTATCCTAGACTTGAGTGACACAGCCTAGGTGGTCCTTCCACGGTTAAACCTCCCCATGTCATCACCATGGCCAAGGACTTGGTCTGCACCTGAAAACAAATAATGGTAGACGAGGGTGAGTATATAAAATACTCTGTAAGTAGCCCTCACTAACTATATACAAACAGCATGCTCAAAGTCACAACAACATCACAAGAAAACAAAAAAAAAAAGAAAAAAAATAGAGATCGACATCATTAGGAAATAACGTGTAACAACACCCTCACATGCATCTCAAGTAACAAACAACACACGAAACTTCGACCACGAAGCCCTCTAGACTCTGGCCCCTCCAAAATGCTTCTAACTCGTGCTATCAGGTTAGTCCTCCAAGTCTAATTCTTCGAATCGTATTGGCCCTTGCCTCTTTGTACCCAAGGGTCCGACACTCCTCCATAGAAGCTTGGCATTCGAATTTGACCTTTAATTTTGAGGCCTCGAACTGTGCATTGATCATTGGCATTTATCCCCAAGACCTCGACGTCTACTAGGCATGTTGGTCCTTGACCGCCACCACATCAAGACCCAACACTACTCATCAATAGAATCAGCGTGCCGACCCCCGACCTTTGTACCCAGAGCCTCGACACTCATCTCTACCAAAGTTGGGGTATCGATCTCCAACCTTTGTACCTGGAGCCTCGATAACCAATTAGTGGCGTGCCAGCTCTCTGGCCCAGTTACTCATCCACTCACTCATTATATCTCGAAACTCTCACAAGAGTCCTGCTTGCTACTACGCCATGCCTCCTGCATCATTAATCTGATAACAGTCCAATATGCTATACACCACAAACAGAACCGCCAACCTGTTCTATCGCTTCAGGCGATTTACATAAAATTGAAACAACTAACAAGTCCATCACATCAAACAAGACACACAAACATAACAACTAGCCTACTCTTCCACATTTAGACGATTCACAAAAGGGGAACAATTACATGTTTTCCCACTTCAGACAATTCACAACCAACCTCTTCAACTCATCGAACGGGCGGTTCACTTTCGTTCACAACCCAAATTGTCTTCCAACATATTTTTCAGTATACAAAAGGAATGTAACTCACAATTCTCAACTAATTCGTACACGTCTCCTAACTCAATAATTATCAGCGCAGGCAAGTACATGCATCGAAGGTTCCGAATAAACTGTATTTAACTCAACTTAAATACTTCCAACCATAATCAGCAATTTCCCATGGTTACAAACAGCAGTGATGGATACAAGTCATGTACATATCTCAAATAAACACAAAAAAAATAGGAACGGCAAGATCCCGTCGCAGCATCGTCCTCAGTACTGTGTCCAACAATTAAAATAGCAAGAGAACACATTTATAACAAAGAAGGCAGAGGGAATAATATCTATCAGCACACATCAACGCACGCACACACCACTGGAACTACTTACACACTGCTACGCTCCTAACCTCGCGTTGACTCAAAACCTATGTAACAAAAGACCAAAAACCAGCCATCAAAACGAATCTCCAGCCATCGAAACTGGTTAAAAGGGGAAATTGGAAATCTGTTACCGCGAAATCGACCTCGTTTAGATGTGGGTAACCTTGGTTAAGTTCGAGTGGGTGTGGATTTGAGTCAATTGGATTTCAAACGGTCAAGTGTAGGTGGTAATGCTGCAAGGCAAGTTGCTGCAAGCGTTTTCGCAACGAACAGAACACACTTACTGATATTTACGCGGCTGTGAGGCGTGTAGAAGCTGCAGCCGAGGTCGTTAACCTCCACGAACGCCTAACAAGGATGGTGCGCCGCCGGAAAGCACCCAACGTCGCCGCTACCGCCGCGAAACGACGCCGCCGCTGCCACAAAACACGTCGCACGCGTCTGTTGTTGTCACCGGAGAAGAGGTCGCACCGATCGTCGGGTAGGAGAGCTCGTGGCTGGGCGTCTGGAGGAAGGAGGAGCGTGGGCGGTGGCTCACGATTGGAGAGGAAATGGGTTCCTAGGGTTCCCTAGTCTTTTTTTCTTGTTTTCTTTTCTTTTTCTTTTCTTTTTGCTTTACCTCTAAAAAGAAAAAGCCTATTTACCCCCCTTTGACAAATAGAGCCCATGGGTAAAAGAATTGAAATTTCTATCTTTTTTTTTCTAGAGATACGCGTTAATTGTCTTTTCATAACGAAATTAAACGTACAAGCCCAACGGGCTAGAAGAAAAAACAAAAAAAAAACCAAAAACAATTACTTCGTTAACTAAGTGATAAAACTCACCACCACCACCATACCAATTACAATAAGGTAATATAATTTAAATACTTCAAAATAAATTTTGGACTAAAAACTCATGGCTAGAGGTAAATCTTACCTGAGTAATGCGGGGCGTTATAGACTTCCCCCCTTCAAAAACTTTCGTCCTTGAAAGTTCACTGAGCAAACAACTCTGCATATTTGGCTGAGATCTCATCTTCCCTCTCCCAGGTAGCCTCCTCCACTTGGTGATTTCTCCACAGGACTTTTACCAAGTCAACAGTTCGGTTCCTCAGCACCTTGGTCTCCCTGGCTAAGATCTCTATGGGTACTTCCTCATAGCACAAGCTCTCATCTAACTGTAATGGTTCGGGATCCAATACGTGAGAAGGATCATGTACATACTTTCTCAACATGGACACATGGAACACGTTATGCACCGCAACCTGAGTTGGAGGCGGAGCCAACCAGTAAGGAACTGGGCCGATGCGTTCCAAGATATCAAAAAGACCAATGTACCTTGGACTGAGCTTCCCCTTCTTACCGAAACGTAGGACTCCTTTCACTGGGCCACGTGAAGAAAAACGTGGTCGCCGACACTAAACTCCAGCTCTTTTCTTTTATTATCGGCGTAACTTTTCTGCCTGCTTTGGGTCGTCTGCATCCTTGCTCTAATCCTTCGAATAGCCCCATCAGTCTCTTGCACCAGCTCTGGTCCCATTATAGACGTAGTGGTGGTGCTCTGGCTAAGATCTCTATGGGTACTTCCTCATAGCACAAGCTCTCATCTAACTGTAATGGTTCGGCATCCTTACTGCTATTTTCAAAGTCAACACCCAACCTAAAACTAAATGGGTGTCTATAGTAGGACTCGGAAATCATAAATACATTTTCTTTAACTCTCATTGTTTTTACCACTCTTTTCTTTCTAACACAAGTATTTTCCCCACTCTTATTTTCTCTCAACAAGACTCTTTTTACTCTTTTGCAACTTTTGTCTTTTTTTTTTCCTTTTTTTTTCTTTTTTTTTCTATTTTTTAAGTTAACTGCTTTTCAACACTTTCTTTCTTTCCAACTGACTCTTTTTCAAAAGAAAATAGCATGATTTTTCAAATATAAATAACACTTTATCTTTCTGAAACAATGACTGACACAACGACTGTCCTCCCCCAAACTTAAGAGAGACAGTGTCCTCACTGGGAAAAGACTTTTGCATCTGATGAAAAAGGCTTAACAGTAAAAAGGACAAGGACTTCCTATATAGGGGCAAAGAAAAAGCTTAAAGTTTGTAAAGATCAGAAAGACAGAAAAGAAAATGAGTTTATCACATAAACGAAGGAAATAGCGCAAAGCTTAGTCAGGCATAGAACAGAAAACTCAACAATCTTTTAGAATCATCATTGACAGGAAATCACATGCACAACACAGATGCTTCAAAGTAGGCATGTGAAAAGCTAAACTAAGGTTAAGTGAAGGCATACTTTAAGTGATCAGAAGATAAACGATACTAATTTATACATGCTTCAACTGAGCTCAAAACATAATCAATACAAAAAACATACGTAGTAAGGCTAGAATATGTAAACGACGTCATTAACCAAAAGAATAATACACAAAAAAAATAGCAAAGAAGGAACCTCCCCGTCATGAAGTTGGAGGTTGTGGACTAGGATCAGTGTCGGTACTAGAAGATGGATGACCAAGGATAGCAGCTAGCGCTGGAGGCCATGAAGGTAAAACCGCAAAATCCAACGAAGCCCTCAAGTTGTAGATATGTTGCACGACTTCTCGAATTTGATCTCGCAGATGTTGGTTCTCCTCTCGGAGACGACGGATCTCCGATGTAGGAGACATCCCAGTACCTTCCCTTCTTTGTAGCGTATGGGCGATAATTCTCCGAATATTATTCTCTTCCACAACTGGGGCATCTCTCTTAATTTGATCCGTAGGGAGCTGCACACCTTGTCGCAAGCATAAAGAAGTGACCAAGCGTGGGTGATAAAGCTTACCACGTGTCCGGTGGGCACACTCATGGATACTGGTATTGATCAATTCTCCATAATTCACATCTATGCCCTTTAGCATGGCATAAACCAGCAGGGCCCTATCCTGAGTGACATGCTCATCATGCTCCGTTGGCAGAATTCTGTTTTTGACTATATATAACCATCTTGCAGTAGCTAGTGAAACATCCTTGGGTTTTAGTCGTACCTTGCCATGAGTAGTCAAATCCCAAGTGGCAGAGGGCTTCTCAACACATTCTAGAGCCTCACTGACATCTTATTACCCACAGCATCTCTGATATTCTTAATGTTGAAGGTGTAGTTGATCTGATTGGCATCAAACCTTATTTCCTTCCCACGCACTATGGCTATATGTGACTGGGGATGGACAGCAGCGTAGAACTCTCTGACTAACTCCAAATCCTCACATTGTATAGGCTGAATGAGTGGTCTCCATTCTTTATCTCTAGCGGTCTCCCTCCAATCATCAGGCACATCTCCTAGATTGAGGTCGAATCCCAATTCTGTCATAATCTTACGGGATTTCATTAATGAAGTGCGAGTGGCTAAATTTGCCGCGTTCCATTGCGTCTCGACCTCCTCGCCCTCGGACAAGTTTAGTTCGATTGGATCAACTGGCCCAGGTGCCACTACCTTCTTCTTAGCTTCAGCTGCTTTAGCTTTCGCAGCTCTCGTTTTAGGTTCATTCATGGGCACTATCGGCTTCTTAGCCTGAACTGCACGACGTTTTGAAGTCTTTGTCTCCCGCCTCTTGTATTGGAACATTTCCCTTAACGTCTGCGTGTCCTCAGGATCTTCTTCTCTGGTAGGTTCTTGAGTATTATTCTCCCCAACCTTGGATCTACTTGTCTCACACTGAAGCGGGTTAACTGCATTAGAAGGAATAGTGTGAGCATCCCTTACCCCTGGTAGAGTGGCTGTCGGTGTGACATACTCATCCGTTGCCAACGGAGTAGATCCAGTTGCCCCAGTAGGCAACTCTTGGTGACTACAAAATGCTCCTTCTGTAGGTGTATCCAATGGGGAAGGTTCCTGAGTATCTGTTCTCACCACTTCGTTCTCGGTATCCTCTGTTTCCGGCATATTTGAACAATTGCCTCGT